ATATATATATATAATATATATATATAATTATATATATATATATATATATATATATATAATATATATATATATAATAATATATATATATATAATATATATATATATATATATAATATATAATATATATATATTATATATTTGTGGCACCTAACATCTTGCCCCTCCTGATACCGACTCAACTAATCTAATTTTTCTAGTTCTTGGCTTGCATGAATCCAGTGGCAAACATTGATGATGTAGGTTATGGCCCATTTATACTTTTATGATAATGATGAAGGAATATCATAATTTTCAGTGAATCTTTCTCTCTCTTCATTTTTCTCAAATTTATAGTGCCTATGTGATATTTGGAAAACTTTTATGGTATTGCAAATATATCTATTGTTATTGGGTCATGTATCCTTCTGGTGGTAGATTTTTAGAATCATTTTAAAGATAATTGTCTGGTACTAAACTTGAATCATTTTGAAAACTAGTAAGCATAGGTACTTCATAATTTTATTTTATTCTTGACATCGAAAACTATTGAAATGTTACAGTTCACCAGGTACAGGGAGGTTTGTTTGTGATTAACACTATCATGGTACGAGATGGTGAAAAAAAGAATAACCGATATTACACACACACATACACACACACCTGTACTTTGACCCCTTTGTCACTGAGAACATGTGCATTGATTGGTATGATATCCTGTAGCTTTTTTACCCTCTCCCCTTCAGATAACATAGCAACAATGTGCCAGAGAAAAAGGAAGCAACCCCTGGCTACACTGCCATACCACCGGGCGCCAGCCTTCTTGCGATTTAATCCTTTCATTAAAAAGGGTTACCGCTCAAACCTGTCAACAGCTCAGTGCTTCCACAGGTATCTTGTTAATAAATTATTTTGTATATTAATTGTAAATTTAATGTCAAAGATGAGCCTTGTTTTAGTGTTTACATCTTGTAATCTTATCTTGTTATCTAACTTCAATCAATTTTTAAGATTCAGTATACTGTACTCTATTAGATTATGAAATCAATAATGACCTTCCTGTTTTCTTAAATCAGTACTGACTTTGTTACTTTCTGAAATAATTGATGATTATGGTTCATGCTTTCAGAAATAACTATGGCATTTTTCTCTTACAACTGTTCACATTCATCGGTGCACATTCATCTTTAATGACGCCTCTTTTACTTTCATGTAATCTTTTGTAATGTTTGTCTATAGAGATACACTTTTGACTGTAGCTGTACACTTTTGTCCATAGTTGTGCACTACCAAGTGTAAGGTTGCAGACTAGAAGGTGAAAGGACGACAACGTTATGGTCCAAGATGGACCGAAACGTCGTCGTTCCTTCACCTTCTAGTGTGTGGTCTGGTCAGCATACAGTGTACTTTAGCCACGCTGTTGTGACTCATCGCCTGCGTAAGGTTACAGCTAACAATTATACATCAGATCATGGCACACTACCAAACATAAGGTTACAGTTAAAATCAATATATCAGATTATTATATGCTGATTTTCATGAGATTTCTGAGTGTCTGTGATTAAAGATAACAAGTACAGGAGGAGTACAGTACTGTATATGAAATTTTGCTATAATTCGATATGTTCTACATTGTTCAGTTTTAAATACTTTTACAGTATATATACTGTATAACAAAAGAGGGATGTAAGCTAAATAAAAATTATAGATTGAAAGTTAATTTTTAGATTTGTATTCGTAATGCAATCAGTTTTCCGTTCATTAACACTGTGTAATTTGAATGATGATGACTTTTCGCTTGTTAAGGACATCATTTGACCCAAAAGATACAGAGATAGCTGCTTATAAAGAGAAACAATGGTGAGGTGTATGTTAAATCTCAGGCATGTGACGGATTGAACATTTTGCAATTTATATTTTTCTAGTAACCATGTAGTAAGCAGCGGTGCATTGATGATATTTCATTGATCCATTTCAGTGTATCGGTGAAATATCACTTGATGTTTGAAATTGATGTGATGTGGTGTGTTTGATGGCTACAGATGTAGGGAAAACTGACTCGAGGGATTTACTTATTTGTTTTGATTACAAGTATTAATTGTAATCTATTAATTGTAATTTAATATAATTAATTATAATTAATTTATTTATTAATTAATTTATTTTGATAGCGGACTGTGTGATATTAAAGTTCCCACAAGTAGCTTTCTACAGACAGACGTTCGGGGGTTTAATTACAGTCTACCAAATTGAAATTAATCAATTGTAGAAATTTGCTATTAAAAGTTACTCTACAATGGTTAGTGAATTAATATACTGTACAGCTTGGCTGTTATGTTGAATTCGGCCTGGTCAACCAGACATGGACACGAAAGATCACGCAAGCTGGTTCTCCTCGTGGGTCAGGCTATTGCATCATTATGTGTCACATGTTGTACCAGGTAGTGCTGCTAATTTCTTCATCCCCTTCAATTTCACCTGTCAAAAGGGCACACAGTAATAAATCGAAACTAATATATGATGGCTATATCAGGGAAAATAATTATTCTATTTAACTAATTGGAGCTTATCCATTCTGGGTGGCTTGCCCAGCATCCTAACCAATTGACACTTTACTAATATGATCATAAAAGTAAATTAATATTTGTTAAACGGGTATAGAACACTTCCTTATGGGCTAGTGATATCATGCTGATGATGGGAGATTTGAAGTCCCACAACACTTGAACTAGAGGGAAATATTCGTGGAGCTTGCGAGTGTGCTCGCAGACAAGACTTGGGTGATGTTAATAATGGCGTCTCTCCTACATTCCCGATCAGATGACGCATCGAGAAACTGGCTAAAATTCTGCCCTTTTATTGTCAGTAGGAGGGAAACCTTAGTTTTATTCATGTATTTATTAGATCCAGTCATAGAGAACACATTTTTATCAATTTTAACCCCTAGGCTGGTGTTTTAAATGATTGACTAATATTTAATTCCAGAATTCTTAATTCTGGAATTCTGGTGACGTGACAATTATATCTTCATTTTCTCGGGGAAAATTCCACAATTCTAATTTTCTTTGATTGATTAAATAAAATACTTTAGTGTTAATTTGTTAGTACAAAATCATCAGCAAAGTTATCTGCTTATTGTATTGAAAGTTAGTAAATGGTGTCGGTATTTCTGACAACAGATTCTGTGTGTTCTGTCCAAAGTTTTCTTCTTTGATGATACAGTACTTTAGAGTTTGTGACATGCTGGTTCTGGTTTCTGTGAGTGAAGCAAATGTTATACTTTTGATGAGGTGCATGTACTGTATTTATGTTTGTTAATCCTAAAATATAATTTGCTAGATGTTTCTTCAGCATATACATTTTACTCGAATACATACATTCGTCTGTATATACTTTTTACCTCGATAAAAAATGTATAGTATTTGTTTACCAATCACAGTTAGCAGTTATACATAGGTTTAAACAAACATCAATTTTCAGTATCCTCTCGTGGAACAACGAAACTCTGAATGTCTGGTCCCATGTACTGGGATTTGCCGTCTTCCTTGGTCTATTCGTGTATGATGTGACGGTAGTTTTCTACAAATACAAAGGCACCGAGTATGATGCTATTGTTGCAGCATTTGTCCTTCTTTCTTTCATGGTAAGTTAGCAATGGTTGATGCAAAGGTTTACTGTAGCTACGTGTTGTATGTCCTGAGATCAAATAAAAAATGTCAACTGTTACGCAGGTTAACACTAGTACAGAAGGGCGAGCAATGTTAGTTACCCATATCATAGTCTCATCAGCAGCTTCAATGGGAATGTGGTGAACAAGGAAGTTGTGCACAGTATGGCAAATTCATGTAAATACTATCATTACAATAAATTTCAGCATACCAGTATGGCAATAGCATTGCAGTATTTGCAACGGTGTATATCCAGTTAAATAAAAATTTAGATATTAAGATAGATTTAAATAACTAACTATGAATGCTTTTTCAGACATGTATGCTGCTCTCCTCTCTATACCACACCTTGAATTGTCAGTCTGAGCACTCGTTCAAAAAATGGCTCTCGTATGATATATTTGGAATATCGACCTCTTTTCTTGCCATTTTTCTTAGTGGCATTTACTATGGATTCTGGTGCCCACAGGTAAGCCTTTACTGATTGTTTGGCAGGTACATGCAATGGCATAGTTATAATAATAATAATAATAATAATAATAATAATAATATAATTATACATACAGTTATAATGGATCAGTTATAATGGTTACTTAGTAGGTACAGTATTTGTATACAGTATTTAATAAAACCACTAATTATGCACATTGTATAAGTCACAATATAAATGCATGATTCCACCATTCAACTTCTAGAATCCTTTGTGCAATCATACTTTGATTACTCTATCCAAGCATAGCAACACACACACACAGACACACACACACACACACACACACACACACACACACACACACACACACACACACACACATACACACAGAAAGTGCTTATATAATTTAGAGAAAACTCAAACTCTGTGCTACTGTACAGTAGTTTGAATATCAGTTAAAGTTGAATAAAGAACTGTAAATTCCTCAAAGCATGACAACAGGTTTCACAGAGATAAAGCACCATGTTCAAGGTACTGAACAAGTTTGATAACATACACTCCAAACCCATTTTTCAAGATTTGCAGTGAAGAACATACTGGGAGTTACTGTGTGCCAAGCCACAGTGAACAACAAACAACAGTAGATATTGTATATAAGGTTTCTTTCCTGTTAAAGTTATGAAATGCAAAAAGGCCACTTTAGTGGCTTTGCAAGACTGTAACCACACTAATGTTGCGTACTTTCACAACCCAATGTACCTTCTTGTATATAAATAAATAGAATAAATAAATAAATAAATAAATGTGACATACATCGAACAATATTGCCTCATCCTTCATACTTAACAAATTTTCAGTTATTTGATCTATTCCATGAGCCATTCCTCTCTCTAACCACTGTGATGCGCCGAGTTTATTGTAACATTCCCCCTGTGCGCATGAAATAAACTGTTCCAAAAAAATTCTTTTTAATTTGTAAAATGATAAATTCCCTTCACAGAACATGTCTATGTAAAAATAAATACCAAATTCCACCTACTTTGGCTGTGGGGACATGGACAAGGTGCACTGTGACATCATCAGGGGCTGGTCACCCATGCGTGAAGCTCCCAGACACGGTCACGCAGGCCATTCAAGCACCGCAAGTTGCCACAAATATATTTTCAATTATTTGTAATATGTATTTCCAAGGCGTTTTTTTTTTTTTTTTTAATCGTATATGATTCATATTTGTGGCCTTTACAATATGTATACAGTAGAACGTTCATAATGTTCCATGGAACTGTGATACATGTGTCAGTAATGTGTCCACAATAAATGTTTATTGTTGCAATATTACTTGTTAAAAATTCACTAAAATTACAATATGTACAGTTTCACACACTATTTACACAGTAACACACTGTATTACACACTCGGTACTTCAGAAGCGAGTAATAATTAATGAAGTAGTCCATGGTAAACAGCGCGACTTCGCTCTCATTGCACCAGGTACAGATATATTTTCGCTTTCTGTTTCTTTGTTGTGTGCTTGCAAATAACGCACTCACGTACGCACTAGGCTTTAGTATAGTACTTGTAGGTGGTATGTAGCCAAGCTTGTAAAGCATAAGGTAGGCTTGGAAAGATTATAGGAAAAGATCAATTTGTAAGGTAGTCTTAAAAAGATTGCTTTGTAAAGTCCCACACTGGAAGAGATTCAGCCAACATCGAAGAGTATCAATCAATCTGGAAGAGATTCAGGCATTCATGAAAAGATTCGGCTGTTCTTGTAAATATCTATGGAAAACACCATCATGGAAGCTGCTAACACTGTTCATCTATGCTACTTGTATCAGACGCATCAGCACTGAACCCAGAAAATGATTCATCTATGTATCATCTATATATAAATTGGAGATGGCATAGGTTGGCAAGGGTGGCATTCAGAGTGACAACTGCGCCTTCCATTATAACATCATGCAGTGATGACTTCTCTGGGGTACACACTCTGGCATGTTTTGCCTGTATAGCACTAGGGCCTGCTTCTGGCTCACTGCATGATTTTCTCATTGTTTTTCTTGGAGATTGTTTTTCCCTTCTTTGTAACACTTGTCTGATGTGAGACATCACATTGTCATTAATAAGATTAATGCAACGGCCTGCTAAAGCTTTATCTGGGTGATTCTTTTCAGCAAAACTTTGCAGTTCTTCCCATATTGCACACATTTTCTTAATGAGGAAGGGACATCCTCTACTTCCTTCTCCTCCTTCCCTGAAGATTTGTTATACTGCCTAGCTAGTTCAACAACACATGTACCATTTTCATGTTTACGAATGATCTTGTTTTTCCTCTATGGTCATTCTCACGTGTGTTTTCTTGCCTTGAACCTTACCACTGGATTTCTTGGGACCCATGGCAAGATATATAATAACTACTTTTATGGTCAAATAGCCAAAAATCCGAAAAGAAACTGTAAATCCTTGCAAAGAATTCAGGCAGGGTAGTCACTGGGCGCGAGACACTGATAAACTGAGGCGTGATCGCCGTGCCACCATGCGCTAGGTCGGCCATACGCGTATCAACAAATTTGTATCCTGAGGTAAAGTTCGTATCCCGATTCAAATTTTCTGAACAAATCGGGCTCGTAACAAAAAAAGTTCGTAAACGGGCATTCGTAAACTGAGATACCACTGTATATATACACACATATGTACATACATACAGTATATAAATCCCTTCTGAAAATGTATTATTAAAATACGAAAGTACTTAAGGAAATTCCTGTTTCAATTCTTCCTCCGTGGTCTAACACTGTCACATTTTTCATCACCTGTTAATTTTTGTGATTTACACACATATCTAATACATACTGTCACGTGGGGGTGGGTAGTCCGGGGCTCTGCTAACACTTAACTGCTAGGGGCTCAAAAGGCCCAAATACTCAGCCCCTCCGACTCCCTGGATTGACCGGAGTCTCCTTGGTCACACAAGAGAGGACCAACAATGCCCACCTCCGCAGGTCTTGCTTCCACCAAAAGGGTGCCACTGATTCACCCTGGAAGCCCTTCAGTCAAACACGGGGAAACTGCTGTTAACAGTTCCGGCCTAGACCCGTGGGGGAGTGAAGGAAGACTCAGGCTTACCTTATAACCATAACCTCCCTGAGCCTTGCCTGCCAGACAAAAAAAGGTTGCAGGAACTCCTTTCCCGCCTGTCTTCTCTATCTTCTTCTTAGCAAGGTCGCCAGCTGGGTTATTATATCTGCACCCCAGCAATGCAGTTCAGTGGGTGTATTATATATTGTTTGTGGCCAGAAAGGTATGCTCATAGAGAAATATCATAAATGGAGGCACACTCAAACACAGTGATTGAGTGTGCCACTGTGTTAAAGTGATTTTATCACTTTAACACAGTGATAAAATGTGTGGATTTACTGATGCAAATTACATGAACCCACACACACAATCACAAGTAATACATGAATATGGAAATATGGATAATGAGTCTGGAGATCGTCAGCCTCTTCTTCCACGACCTCCAACCCTCCTTCAACTGGGCAGAAAGACAGGAGTCTCACACTCTCACAGGAGGGCCTCTTCACCACGTCGGCGCCTCTTCTTCACTGTCCTGCCATCCATACACACTGTCCTCTCTGACAGTCCTGGACTCAAGCTGCCTTTCAGCCTATTCTACTATTAAAGTAATCAAGTCTTGCTGCCACATACACAAGTAAATATTGTGGCCTAACTAGCCTACTCATACAAGGGGTAATGGGAGGGAAAATGATCTACCTTACATTCCTGGCTCACGACGCCTGTCCCTCGATGGTGTGAGGTTCCCACGCTTCCTTGGGTCGATCCTTGACGATCCAGGATGTTCCACAGGTCCTCAGGTGTCGTGAAGCCTTCGCGTCGTCGCCGTTCCAATCCCTGAGATTCAGCTGCCCCAATCCTGGTTCATCGATGGGCGCTGAGCTAATCACTATTTTCCCACACTCGCCTCTCCCACAAGGCGTTGCTCCTTGTCCTAGGCACGGTGTCGTCCTTCCAAGATTCTCAGAGGATGTGACCCCAGTCACAGCTAGGCCTGCCCGCCCACCTTCCAGACCTCAACGTCCAGCCAGCGGCGCCGCCCAGCGTCGTCGCCGACTATTTTCCAAGTTTGGCACTTCTCTGCTCAATGAACTTGGTTCCTCTTTTGCTTCCCAGAAGCGCAGGGTCTCCAATAACTATGGTGGGCTGCGACGGCTAGTTCAATCCACTGAATAAGCTTGCAGAGCCTCCAATCCTTGAGAGCAGACCGAGGCGCGTCCTGTCGCTTCCAAGGTCAGAACAACTCTGACGTTGGCGCCGCCCGGGGCACTCGGTGACGTCATGGCGGGCCCTGATTTGTCGCCCGCGACCTACGTCGGCCAATCCGCGATCGGCTAATGTCCCTTCCAAAAGGTCATATCTGCCGTAGGGGATACTGTTTCATTTTATAACAGGGCGCCAATTTTCCTTTATTTACAACTTATAATATAACTTCCTTCCCTTAACTGGCAGCCGGTCTGGTCGCCCCATATATCATTAGACTCCCTGAACCTCAGAGAATCAGTAGGGAGAGCTGATATGACTCTTTAAGCCGGCAAACGAAAGAAATAGGAGAGGGCACCGTAACAATACATACATACATACATACATACAGTGAAACCTCGGTTGATGAATGCCCCTCTTTATGAATTTTTTGGTTTACAAGCCCAATTTCATCGTAAAATTCAACTCGGTTTACGAGCTTTGCCTCACTTGGCGAGTTTGTTGATACATGTATGGGCCGACCGAGTGCATGGCGCACTTCAGTTTACCAGTGTCTCCCTCCTAGTGATGACAACGCTTGACTTCTTTGTAAATTTCATTTTTTTTTTACTATTCTGGGACGAGCCCTGTCGGCTCCCCGAAGCTATCCAGGCTGATATGCTACCTTACCTTACCTTGAAAGTCTGTTAATGTCAGACTTTAGCATCAGTCACGTGTATGGAGTTCTGTGGGCCTACCGGGGACCATGAGCCAGAACCTGGCCCCCCCTCACATAAGCACGAGGAGCAATGGCCTATAGAAACCCCTGTGTGGTTGGAAGCATTCTATGTCTGCCATCGACCGGGTTAGGCACCCAGAAAAAATGGTTCCAAACAAAAAGAAAAGAAAACCTCGCAAGAGGACAGCGTACCCAGGCGGAACAGAGCCAGCTGCTATGATCGGTGAAAACAAGCTGCGCAGTACCCTGTGCCCCTACCAGTGCAAACTGCCCCCCCCCTACCCTAAGGTGAACAAGGAAGACGGAACACCCTAGAACACAAAGGGCAGCTGAAAACCGAGCAGTAAACAGGCTAGCAGAGGCAGAACCCAAGGAACTTGTGGAAGGTGGCCCCAAGCCCCAAGGGCAGTACAGTACTTACTGGGCACCTAGGGAAGGAAGCCCAAGACGCATACAGCATGAGTACCGAAGAATCACTCCTGGCTCACGCACCACCTATCTTGAGGTTATCTTGATGATTTTGGGGCTTAGCGTCCCCACGGCCCGGTCCTTGACCAGGCCTCCTTTTTGTTACACACACTCCGGGAAGCAGCCCGTAGCAGCTGTCTAACTCCCAGGTACCTATTTACTGCTAGGTAATAGGGGCATTAGGGTGAAAGAAACATTTTGACCATTTGTCTCCACCTCCACCGGGGATCGAACCCGGAACCTCAGGACTACGAATCCGAAGTGCTGTCAGACGCCCCTAAAAAGAAAACCTAGAAGACAGTCACCACACACAAGACACAGTACTGAAACAACCACCGGAGCCAGAGCACACGACCATTGTCTATAGCATCAGCCTCAGAACTGGGGTGTGGATGGCCGGCGCGGGGGGCCTGGGGCTCCTCCTTTCCCCTTCCGGGGAGGGGGGAGCTGCGCAGACAGCGGCGCGGCAATGTGTGACGTCATACTAGTTTGCTCATTTCTGTTTGGGGAGTTCTATCCACTTGTTTGTTTTTTTGTAGCAATTTTCACCAGAATTAGGGTTTGTTTTGGGATGCCTACCTTTCTGGGTGCCTAACCCGGTCGATGGCAGACATAGCATGCTTCCATTTTTGGTTTCTGAACATAAGAGGTCTTATTATATATCATGCCATGGGTCTCTGAAAGTGTTTCAGAGGCCATCATTTGTGAAAAAGCAAGGCTATTGAAGAACTTATAAAGATCTTGATCATGAAGATCTTATAAAGAAAACCCCTGGAACGAGTGATGCAGATATGAAAACATTTAAGGCGAGCAAGGAATGGTTTGAGAAATTTAGAAAAAGAATTGGTATTCATAGTGTTGTGAGGCATGGGGAAAAACAAATGTCTATAGACAGATTCATAGTAAGACAAGCAAGCAGTGAGCCACAACCAGATCCTAGTGGTATGCCTGCAAAACATAACATAGGAGAGAGTACCTCAGAAATGGCATCACTACCTGATGTTATAATGGAAGGGGACTCCCCTTCCAAATACTAACATCTCTCCTCCTCCCCCCCCCCCCCCCCCTCCTCACTGTCTTCCATACGCCAACAAGAGTCCTCAATAAAGGTAAGATATACTGTACTGTAGTACAAAATATGAGTAGTATTATATATAAAATGTATTATGAAGTTAATATTTTTGGGAGTGTGGAACGATTAATTCAATTTACATTAATTCTTATGGGAAAATTCGTTTCGGCTTATGAATTTTCGGTTGACGAACCATCTCTGGGAACACATTAAATTCGTAAACGAAAGGTACCACTGTATTATTATAAAGAAGGTATTACAAAAGTGCTAATGATCTTGAGACAATAATGAGACAAAAAGTTTCCAATACATGGTGCTATATAGTCTTCTTGGCTTGGGTGCCTTCTTTTGATAACAGTCCCCGTGACACAATTGTAAGACACTCGCCCCCCCACGCTTCACGAGTGATTTGGCCTGAGTTCGTATCCTGGCTGGGGAGGATTGATTAGGCACCAATCCTTAACTGTCTCTGTTCACCCAGCAGTGAATGGGTACTTGGTTGTTAAACAATTTGGCAGGTTGTATTACAGGAAAAATTAAGATTAAGGACCTGCCTGAAACGCTATGCATCCTATTGACTTTACAAAAATGTAAGAACTCTTGTATATATATAAATAAATAAAAAACTTCCAGTACATGCATAGCTTTACCATTAGTTACCAAATTGGATAATTCAGAAGATCCTTTTAATGTTTAAATTTTTGTTTTCCAGTACCTTACTCTTCGTTATGCATACATGAGTTTGGTGTGTGTGCTGTTTGCAGGAGCTATGATGTTCCTCTTAATGCCCAAGTAAGAAATTTTAAATTATACTTAGGATTACTGTATAGGCTTCAAATTAATTATTTCTCACTTGTAAATTAGGAGTTCATATGTTTGTATTACAATTAGGTCTGCTAGTAATATTGCATGCATTAAAGGTTGCTTTCTATGCTGTCGTTTTTTTTAATTTTTTTGCATTCAGTAAACAGCTAAAGTAAGCTTATAGGGAAATGTACTCAACTATTGAAGAATATTTAGCATTGACATGAGGTAATTTTAATTACTGTACTGGTATATGTTAATGAAATGAAAAATATGATGAACTAAACACTTTGCCTGGCTGATAACTCATGATGCGTTCGTATATGAATATACTCAGTCTGGGCGACGACGCACGCTGTGTCCCAAATTAAAATACTCATTAAAATCTTTCTTTTTTTCTGATCATTATGGGACTTGTTTTAAAAAGTACACCAACATCTTTCCATTTTCTGTGATGGCCCATGTGGCATCATGCCACCCACGCAGTAGGCCTATTGTTATTGTGTTCATGCTTGTGACCGGTACGGCCCCCCCTCGTGCAGAAACGTGTGCCCATTTTGGTTATTTTCCTCGGCTGTATTTGTTAGTGCCTTTATAAACACACTACTATCCATCTTTGAGTAAATGTAATCAAGAAGAGAGCCAGTCCATGACGAAAGCAGGGAAAGAAACACGTCTGAGGAAAAGCTAAGTACAGTAGTGTTTGCCAAAAGTACAGAAAAGTGAAATTCGCCAACAAAGTTCCAAGCTTGTTGACAAATTTTCTGATCTTGATCTTGAAAGTGCCAAAAGTGATAGTGATGTAAACAGTGAGGTGATTAAAACTGAAACAGCAGGTGGGAATGAAATTGAAAGTGAGGGGAGTGGTGATGATGATGATTATACCGCCACCTGTGCAGGTCCTGCTATTAGAAATTGTACCGCACGTACCCCACGCACCACTTCTGGTGAAGCCTGGTCTACTGACAACAGTGCAACAATTGTAGATAGTTTTACAGGAACACCAGACTTGACTGTACCAGTACCAAGCACTCCTCTGGGATTTTTACAGTTATATATTACACAAGATTGGCTGAAATGTATGGTATATGAAACCAACTTGTATGCATCACAAAGCATGTCCAATGCTTCTAACAACATGAGCAATGAGTGAGATGAAGTGAGTGTAAAAGAACTTGCCAGATATTTGGAACTGACAATGTTGATGGGTATTGTGAAGATGCCAGAAATGACTATGTACTGGCAAACAGCTAAATTGTGGCATGTACCTTCATTCAATACATTTGACAGCGAAATGATATGTAACGATTGCAAGGTATTTTCATACTTGTACTTCATACTTCTAGTGTTTATTCCCAAAGACAATCAAGACAGACTAATAAAAGTTAGAACAATAATGGAATATCAAACACATAAATGTAAAACTATACATTCCTCAGAAATATCTGTGTTTGCATGAAGGCACAATGTCATGGAGACAATGTCTTTCAAGGTTTATAATCCAAATAAACTTGATTGGTTTAGGTATGGAGTAAAGCTGTACATGCTAGCTGAATTGCATACTGGATACATCTATGATTTTGAGGTGTATGGAAGGTGTATGGTGTATGGAATTGGGAAGATAATATTCAAATGATTATGGACTTTATTGAACCACTGAAGAACAAAGGTTACCATTTATATGTGGATAACTACTGTATCTCAGTTCAACTTAGTGAGATGCTGCTTGAACTAGGTGTATACACCTATGGTACTCTCAGATTGCAGCGTGGTGAACCAAAAGATCTTCAGCTACCAGCAAAGAGTAAACTGCCAGTAAATAAAACTATTCAGGTGGAAGGACAATACTTATAATCCTGTGGAAAGATAAGCAAGTTGTTTCACTCATCACAACTTGCCACAATGCAGATACACAAGAAGTGGAACGAAGGAAACGAGTATGCAAACCTGACGGAACATCTTCATTGCAACAAGTCAATGTGAACAAACCAAAGGCATTATGTGACTACAATAACCACATGAAAGGTGTTCATCACTTCTATCAAATGGTCAAAATACGTATTATAATTTCACACGGAAATGTCACAAGTGGACGAAGAAAATCGCATTCTACTTTCTTCAAATAACTATCCATAATGCTTTTGTGTTATATGTACAAGTATTGCATAACTAATACAAAGAAACTCTCATTGCTCCAGTTCCATAAAATAATAATTTATGTACTTTATTTATGTATTTATGACAATGTACTTTATTCTTATGGTATTGGTAATGTTGTTCTTCCATTTGCCCTTATATGCATATATCCCTTTAGAGCAGTCTATTGCAAACAAATTGATACCAAAATGAAGGACATAACACGAAAATTGAGGTGATAAAACTGAAAAGAGTATACACATTTCAGTGCAGGTATTGTGGGTGTGTGGATGGGTGCTTGCTCACGGGTAACGCTCGGCGGATTTTCTGGTTTGCTGTGGATAGCACGCTGGGCTTTTTGCCCTTGTATGCTGAGAAGAGTATATTCATTTTAATGCGGGTGTGCGCTCACGGGAAATGCCACGCCGACCTTTGGGTGGTCTGGGGCTTGCGAGCTGGGCCAGACAAAGTGTTAAGAGAAGCAAGGATGAATGGTTTGTAACGACTAAGGAAGCTTTAGAGACAAGAAGATGTAAATTGTGTCAAGTTTCTAAAAAACTAAGGCATTACTTTACAACAAAAGTAATTAAATGTGCCCCACTTTATGTATTTCATACTTGTAATACTTGTATAATTTTTCTAGATTGATGGGCCATGAGTGGGAATGGGCTCGGGTAGCTCTCTTCAGCGGCTGGGCTGTGTCTGGTCTTCTGCCAACCATCCACTGGGCACACCTCCATGGGGGTGTCGAGTCTGGCATTGTACAGGTATGGCTAAGAGTGCTATTGTTTAGGTCCCATGAAGTAAGCAGATTATAACAGACTAGGAAAGAGGTATTTAGATAGAGAATCCTGGAAATGGTTTTGTCAAGCCCACCCCATCCACGTGGAGTTCCTAAAGGAACTAAGGTACTGAGGGTACTGGAGATATCATACACATGATATATTTTATAAATCTTACATTGTTCCATTTCAGTGTGTAATTTTTACTTGCACTTCACTGCTTCATTTTTTCACCTCTTTCATCCAGATATTAATGTCATTCCGTGGAATTCTGTAGGAAATATATAAAGTGCTTTTGCAAGTCATCGACCCTTGAAAGTTGTTGCAATATACGAGAGATACCCTATGCAAAACCAGTACCTCAAAAAATATTATTAGAATACTATATCAATATTTATGTTTATACTGTATTTGGGATATCTCCACCAGGTTGGAAGGCCTGGTCGAGGACCAGGCCGCAGGGACGTTGAGCCCCGAAATCATGGCAAAGTAATTGCTAGGTAAAAGGTAAACCTGCCTAAATTTTGTTTACTTCAAAGAACTTAACTTTCTTGAGAGGGCAATCTCATAAAGAATATTCTTCCACTCTTTTGATCAATTTAAAATGATTAAAACATTTAAGGAAGTACAGTACACTTGCAACATTTGGTAAAGAACTCTGTATTATTATGTAGTTATTACATCGATGAAACAGTTGTCGGTGTACTAAAAATAGGAAACAAATATTTGAAGTCTTAAGGTGGCTCGAGCTCATTTAATTACATAATTCTTCTATATACTGTACTATGCTCCCCTAAAAAATTTGGACCACTTTATAACTGATATCTCTAAACATTGGATCAAATCCGCCCACTAGATTTTCCCTCAAATATTTGTATTTTTACAAAAAATAAATTGGATCAGTTCATCACAAGGCAATTTCCACCTAATGTTTTTCCTGTTTTTGCTAATCATGCTTATTTATTTGTAAATATTATTCAAAATGCAAGAATGCATTTAGATTTTTTCAATATTTTAGTAAACTTGTAAACTTGTACAGTAAATTATACAAACGTGTGTTTGTAATGCTTTCCTGTGCTATTTCAACCCGTCCTCTTAAAAATAACGTCACTTTTGGCTCGTATGTGCTCTATGGCCAGATTTGGACGTAATTTGAAATGAAATTGATTCACAAAAGTGACATACTGTCCCGTTTTCTGTTTGAGTCGTCTGGCTTACTCGGACAGGTTAGGAAAGGAAACTTTCTATTAACGTTTTTCATAACGTTTTGAAACTTTGAGAATTTCCTGCCCACCTAACCTATCAGAGGACCCTTAACTTACTGTTGTTGAAAAAAAAATCCCAAATTTATTTTCAATTTTTTTCATTTTCAAATTACGTCCACTTTCGGCCATACTGGTAAACGGCCAAAAGCAATGTTATTTTTAAGAGGACAGGTTGACCTATGTGAGGGTGGATTGGCCGACTGTATTTTTCCTTCTGTGTGAGTACAAGTTTGATGTCTTATCACATAAGATTTTCCCTGGCATTTCTTCTGATATGTTATTATTTGTACATTAACTAAAGCCATATTGTGCAGCAATAGTGGTATGGATATATCAGGCAAGGGTAAGAAGAAGATCCTTACCATGGATGAGAGGGCACAGTAATTATTGAGCCTTGATCGTGGCTGGAGAACACTGGCAGATAACCTTATAGGCTGCGTAGGGTGAAACCTAAGGCCCAGGGGTCTTGTGGCCCACTAAAATTAGGTTTAAAAATAAAATGCATGCTCTAAAAATCATTGTATTTTTTGGCGAAGAGAAGGAGAAGTACAGTAATCACAAGAGAAACAAAATTCTAAAATAAAATTTGTAACAATTTTAACTTGCTAAGTCATGAATAATTTCCCGATAGTCAAGCTTGTGCAAATGCTCTGACTTCATGTGCATCAAAGAAAAGTTAGTTCAACTCGTTGTCTTTCATGCTTGACCTTGGGGTAGTTCTTGATTTGTTTTAGAGTAGAAAGTGATTTCTCCCCACTGTTGTTGGATACCATCACACATGGCTACATTCACAAAGAAATATATAATGTACATTTGGAAAGACTGAAGAGAGATTGTTAGACACAATTTGCTTAAATATTTGAAATTCAAAATTGTATTCGGCTTCATTATCAGTTGCAATTACATTATTTCATATACCTGTACTCTTTGAGCTGAATCAGTTACTGTAATTCCAAAGCGAAGACGGCTTGGTTTCAGGTCCTTAAGATAGGAAGAAATTGGGCAATGTGTTGCCTGTTGCAATTCCTCGTTCTTCAATTGCAAACGATTTGACAAGAATCCATACTTCATGCACAATTCTGAGTAAACATAAATCCGTTTACTCAAGGTGTTACACAGCTGATTATCGTAAAACTTCATTTCTGCACCGTGCTGATGTTTTCTGGTTATCTTCCCTGTAGATTGATGTACCAGCCTTGATAGTCCCAATCTTTTCAAATTCGACAAAAATCTCACTGTGATGCAACGAATTCTTTCATTAAATGAAAAAATGTTTTTGCTGCATTCAGAGCAAGTGTTGAACTTTGCAGACTCGTGCCCGTTTGGTGGAAGCATTTTAGTAGAATGATCAGACACTCGATAGAATACCTGGCCTCCCCACAATACAAGCCTAAGGCCCATGGTTATCTTAACCTGCCACTAATCTGGCATTGGTGAGGTTTCTGACATGGTAAAAGGAAGCAGATCATGTAATTTGTGAATAAAATGGGGAGCTTTGGTGGACAGTGACAACAACATGAAACCTTCTAAGCATGAGACGCTTGCTATGCTGAAATGTGTATTACAGTATATCATTTTGTTGTCACCAAATTTTCCCAACTTTTCTCGTTAGTAAAAAAGGGGAGATTTTTCTGACATAACGATATCTTGCAAAATCAGGATCAGGTCTGAAATGATGATATCTGTATTTTTTGATGGAGCAATGTTTACAGTACAATACTTATCTATACCTGACTTGTTGCCTTCATTTACAGTATTTATATACTGTATATAGTATATATACAGTTCTGATAAATTTTCTGTGATCCTTTTGTATTTTGTATTTCAGATTTTTTTGCCTCGTATCTTTGTTATGTATGGCATCAGTGGTGCAGCTGTGGTTGTTTATGTGTGGAAAGTTCCAGAGAGGTATTTTCCCGGTAAGTTGCCAGATTCATGCTCTGTATTACTGAGGCTACAGGGGCTACCCTGCTAAACAGTGGACAGCAGCCATTAAATATAAACAAATACTGTATATTCATTTATAAATAGAACTATAGGTTTTTCATAAATACAATACACTGTAAGTGCACTAATATTTGTCTTTCCAATAGCTTACAATATCAGTGAAGTCTAAACTTGATTAATTGTACGTACTTACATTATTCAGGATTATTACATTACCTTGGTTATAATCATCCTGGACATATAACAAATATAATGGGAGAGTTAATCTCTGTAGGATGTTGTAATGAGCCATATCTGTGACAATGATACCCTAATAATATAAAGTTTCCAGATTGTTCATTTGTAGTCATCTTCACTCTTTCCTTTCTGCAAAGTGTTTACGTTATTGTATATATAAACTTTTCCTCCTCAGAGTGCAACATGGTAATTTCAGAATCTTCTGCAACTAACATGGTCTGAATAAACACACAGGGTTCTGCTCCAGTATTTTGGCTAGCCTCTTAAATCTTTGAGGCTAAATTTTACCACACATTACTTTAAAGTTTACGTGTTAATTCCCTCGTAATTCTTTTTTTGAGGATTTTGAATTTGATTATAATTTATTGTGACAAGGACAACTGTAGGTTAGCATATACAGTATTAATTACTGTGTTGTAACATGCCTTTTCTATGTGCTACTGGTATGATTGAAGGCAGTAAATGCTTTGGTGTTGACTTGTAAATTTTAGTTTGTGGTGAAAATCTTGGAAGTTTGTGTAAGTGGTTCAATGAATGGGAGAGTGAATAGTGGTAAATGCTTTCATTTTAGTATATTACCCCTTGAAACATGTCTTCACACACTGATGCCACCTAGCCTTGTTCCATACACAGATAGATAAATCACAATTGTTGGTACTGGGTGGCTTCAACTTGAAATCAATAAACTAAGATGCCTACTAAGCAAGAGTGGAGGACTTTTGGACTGGCAGATTCATAAGCCTCATCCTGGGGACATTTGTGTATCAACACATTAAGCAGACCACAAGAATAAGGGAAAGGGATGTTCCTTCAATGCTGGATTTGATATTCGCCAGGAAAGAGGAAGATATTTGACATTGGTACCTTCCACTCCTGGCTAAAATCAACCATGTTCTTTTGGAAATAAAATCTGTAATGTGTTATAGTCAAGATGAGAATGAGGAAAATGAAGTGGATGAAACTCTTTATTTCAAGAGGGGACACTATGGGGAAACATTGAAAGTTCTTTAATGAATTTGATTGGAGAGACTTGTTAGGCAAGGAAGTAAATGAGAAGCATGCCAAGTTTTGTGAGATATGATGAAGGCACAAAAAAATTACACCAAAACAGAGATGCAAAACTAGAAAACAGGATGGATTCAATAGTAATTGTGAGAGGGCCAGAGAACAAAAGACTAAAAAATGAGTTCAGTACAGGAGGAGGCCTAATCCTCAACTTACCAGCGATACAAACACAAAACACCTATATGGCAGTGATGAGTGAGACAGAAAGAAAAAAGATAAAATTCAAGAGGTTAAAAATGGGGAACAGATTCAGAGAATGAAAAGGAATTGTATAAAACCTGTTCCAAAATGTGTTCATGCAAAATTAAGTTATCAGAGAACCTGACACAATATGAATTTCAGCGAATAATGTAGAGTACATAGAGGTGTCTTGAGAGGAAATGAAAAGAAATTCTCAAGGAGCTAAGCAGAAACAGAGCAGTTGGCCCAGATGGAGTTTCGTCTTAGGTTCTTAGAGCATGTGCATCTGAGCTCAGCATGCCACTTCGATTTTGTCATCTTTCTGTACTAGTCTTGGCAGATATATGGAAAAAGGCTAACATAGTTCCAATCTACAAAAATGGAAACAGGGAATACCCTATTAGTTATTGACCTTTATTGTTGACAAGCATGGTAGTCAAAACATTAGAAATAATTGAAACCAATTTACCTTTTACTTGAATTTACATGATGGCCACCAACAATAGTGGCCTCGATGAGGACAGGAAGCCGGCAGCTTGCCAAAGGTCCCCCCTATTTGCCTTTATGATCTTTTCCAACTGTATTTTAAAACCCAGCAGTTTTTTGGCATGTACGGCTTTGGCGGGTAGGTGGTTCCACGGGTTTACAACCCTATGGGTGAAAAAGCATCTCCTGGTTTTTTGTCCTACATCCTGGTTTGTTGAGCTTGAACCAGTTGCTGATTTTTCATATTACATCTGACCTTTTGAAGAAATTGTCCGGATCAACATCCTCCAAATTGCTCATGACTGTATTTTAAAGGCTTCTGTGAGATCCGCCCTGTCATGCCTGGCTTGCAGTGTTGTTAGCCCAGTGGACCTTAACTGTTCCTGATACGTGAGATGACTAACCACTGTGCTGCACTGCCTTAAAATATGACACATCCGTGTCATATTTTAAGACAGAAAATATATTCTTTGCAAAGTTTATTTTCTCTTTATATTTTTTAACTTCAAAAAAACTACAACTTCAAGAACAAGAGAACATACTGGTAGATTTAAACTAAAGAAACAAATTTCTGAAAAACATTGAATCTGAACAAAAAAACCAGCGTTGAATGTAATGAAACGCCATTTTCTGGGGGGAGCCCCGTCGGCTCCCCGGAGCTTTACCGGCTGATATGCTAATGTCAGACTTTGGCATCAGTCATGTGTATGGAGTTCTAGGGCCTACCGGGGACCACGGCCAGAACCTGGCCCCCTCAGAGAGGTAAGGGGAGCAATGGCCTATACAAACCCCCGTGTGGTTGGAAGCATTCTATGTCTGCCATCGACCGGGTCAAGCATCCAGAAAGGTAAGCATTCCAAAACAAACCCCTATTCTGGTGAAAATTGCTACCTAAAGTCGAACTAGTGGATAGAACTCTTCAACAGAAAACAAGGAAACTAGTATGACGTCATACGTCACCGCGCCGCTGTCTGCGCAGCTCCCCCCTCCCCGGGAGGGGGAAGGGGGAGCCCCAGACCTCCCACGCCGGCTATCCACCCATCAGTTCTGAGGCTGGATGTCAAAACACGCGAAAAACTGCCGACCGGAGGGAGGGAGGGTTGCCGGGGAGCCTCCAGGTCTCGCCCAGAAAACGGCGTTTCATTACATTCAACGCTGGTTTTCTGGGGGGAGCCCCGTCAGCTCCCCGGAGCTAACTACCCACAGAGGAAGGGCAAAGGGACAGAACCGGGAGGCGGACACTACGCACCCCCCAAGGAGGCGAGACAACTGGCAGCAAACGCCAACCCAAGGCGCCACAGCCCCGAAAAGTCCCAGGAACAACACGAGAACAACGAGCAGCAAGGCCCCTGCACGAACACCAAAAATCCATGCCCGAAAGACCACAAGGCCACGTCGCCCAGACGGCAGCGAGAACAGCGAAACCACGAACGCCACAGGCATGAGGGAAGAACACAGGCAGCTTAGCCATAAGAACACGGCTGACCACCCGGGACACTATCACCCGCGAACCGGGAAGAAAAGAACCGGATCAACGCAAAACACGCTCCGGACCCAAACACCGTGGCACGCAAACAACAGCGGAGGGCTGCCACTGAACACAAAAAACGACACACCCCCGGCCCGACCAACGAAGCACCAACAAACCCAGGACACAGCAGCCCCACCCCGCGCCAGAAAAGATGGAGACTGCTGCCACCGAACAACCAAAACACTAAAACCGAAGGAGCAAGAAAACTCAGCGACTCAAACCCCAGAGGCAAAGGCCAAAAGGAAAGAGCCGACGAAAAAACACACCGGAACCGAAGGGGCACTACCAACCGAGGAGAAGACAGAGCACGCTGACCAGAGACCAGGATGGTGCAAGCGGCGCACGAACAGGCCGGAGATGAAACGACGCACAAGACAGCTGACTAACGGTGCAGAAGCAACACCAAGACCGAAAGCAAGCTGAAGCGGCTCCGCCCGCGCTGCACGAAAAGAGGCGACAGTATGTGGCAAGACGACGGCCCCCAACCCCCACCAGAAAACCAAGCCGAGAGTAAACCAAGCTAACAAGAGTAACCACCTAAGAAGGGACAGGAAAAGGAAGGACCGCCAAAATACCCCATACTGCCGCCAAGAGAAGCACGCAGGTGGGACACCTACCACGAAAAAACCCGACCACCAACCGGAGGCGAGACCGCGAGGCAGAACATAAGCAGCCCCGACAAGGCCCCTTCGAGCCCAGGAAAAGGCGGAGCCGCGGGAAGATCTCGGGCGCGACCACCGAAACCCAAGCGGCACAAGGAGATGGAACATCTGCCGAACAGAAAAACTCCCCAAAGCATGCGAGCCCGCCAGGAGTTCAGAAACGACGGGTCCGATGCGAGACATCGCAAGACCCCCAAAAAAACAACCGGCAGGGCAAGCTAGGAAACCAAAGAAGGCGGAAGGGTCGCCGCCAGAACAGTACCCAAACCAAGGGGTACGAACAACTGCAATAGACCGAGACAAGGAAGCACATCACAGGACACAGGCTGACAAACGCCTAAGAACACACGCAGAACACCCCTGCTGCAGAGGAGGCAGGAAGAAAGAGCAGAAGCACAAAAACCCCAGGATAACAACCAGGGGTGGACAATCAGGGAGGGACAGAAAAACCCCCACGCAATCCCCAGGCACCAAACGGCAGCAAAGTGCCACTCCACAACCGGACACAGGAACAAGGACACGCCACCGTGAAACACAGTACCAATGCACACGTGCAGCAGCAGCAACAGGCACCACGGCCCAAGGCCAGGCTAGACCGGCCAGAGGGTGGCCCACCAGGCAGCTGCTAGGAGCAGTCCACCGGCCCACATACCCCCACAACCAGGACGGGCCGGAACTGCCATACGAAAACAGGCTAGTGTGCCCTGGAAGTCCACGGACGAACCAACAAGAAGGCTTATGCTTGCAAGTAGGTCGTGTAACAAGCACAGACCTCTGATGGTAATACAGTGTTCCCCAAATGTGCCAATAGCACCACTGCACTCCACTGGTACTATCCCGCAAGTTCTACCAGATAGGCGGGACCCAAGAGCCAGAGCTCAAATCCTGCAAGCACAGCCAGGAGCCTTACCAGGTGAGTACAGAACCAACCCTACAACCCCCACACCTCACAACATGAAAAAAGGAGGGTCCCCTGAATGACGCCAGCATGGGTTGGACATGCACATGAGGGGGACAGGAAGGGTTGAAAAAGGGACAGTCACTGGTGTGCGAACGGTCTCAGTCGTACAAAAATATACCTAAATAAAGACAGGTATATAAACAACTCCGCATCCAGCGCCCGGCCAAAAGACGCCAGACCGCAGAAACTCACCTGGCGAACGGTGGCACGAACTTGACACGACTCAACCGTGCCCAGAAGAACCAGGAAGCACCGCCAGGTGAAGACGCCAGAGCCGGACCCTGCCGGACCCGCAGGAGAGCAGGGAGAGGCGAAGGAGGCGGTCCACACCCATGACACAGGAAAACCGCAGTGTCCTCCCCACAACTGGGAACCAGGACACCCCCCGGCGCAAAGGGGCACATATCGCAGCCAGGGAGAAGAACGAGAGGCGAAGCACTGTAGCAAAAAGGGCGCAAAACACCAGCACTGAAACACCGCCCAGACCAAAACAAACTCCACGGCGCATGCGCATAACATGCTGGCCGAACCGCACACCCTCTCTGCGGGAAGGCGCCAGCCAGGACTAATGCACGAGAAAAGTAGCCAAAAGAGGAAACAGGAACAATAAAACCGGCCAAAGAAGCAAAGAGCCCAAAAAGGAACCCAACCGGGCGACAAGGAAGAGGAGCCGACAGACGTTCCAATAATGCGGGAAGTAGCGAAAAACCTTGCCGTACCCTCGAGAACACAGAAGCCAACACTAGTCCCGAAGGCACACGAAGGCGCAGGCGCACCCGAGATCAGAAGTCACGCAGAACCCCATCGAACGGGGAAACATGACGAAAACACCGTCCCAAAAAGGGGTGGGAGGAAACATCCACCCACAGGACGGGACCAACCGACTCAAAGGCCAAGGAACCGAGCCCGGGGAGGGGCCGACGCCCAACAGCACGTACAGCGAGTGGGGAGGAAAGACCCCACTCCGCGTAACCACAAGCCCCGCCTAGAGGGGGATAAAAACCCCCACGGGGTCCAACGGGGCCAAGGCCCCCCAAGTCAGCCCCTCCCCAGCCCCGGGAACTGACACGACAGGCCCCGGGGCCGAGCCGTTCCTCCAAAGCCCCGGCCGTACCAGAAAACCGGGGCAGCCGTGAAAACACTAAGGAAGGGAGCCCACTGGCAGACTCATACAACACGGCTGGAGGAACAGGCTCAAATGCCCCCGTCACTACCGCGGAAGGGGAATTCCCCGAGACTGCCCGAGTCTCAACACAACCAAAAACCCCGCCCTGAACCTACAGACGGTAAGGAACCGGATGCAGGCAGGAAGGGTGATCCAGGGGAAAGACAAGGGGGCGTGGATGGAACCGAAGCAACCAACACCCCCAAGTCCCAAAACGAACTACAATGGGGCAACCCCCGGGGCTCCCGGGGAGGAAACCACGAGAATGTTGCCACCACCAAGGCTCAAGTGCAACGCCCCTGCTGCCCGCACCCGCTTCGTTAGCACAACTGGGTAACCAAGCCACAACGAGCAACCAAACTCGCAGGACTCCGGGTCGAAGGTGTCACCGACCCCACAGGCAGCAGACGGAGGTAAAACAGAGAGTCACCCAGAGACAAAGGGTGAGAGCAACCCTCAAACTCGCTGGAAGTGAGGGGGGGACTCTGGGGTCACATCCATTGGACCCGCGCGCCCCCAGGGGTTTCCCAGGGTCCCGAGCATTTACTATAAGAGAACTCGCGCTCAGGTAATCCCAGGCAGGGTACTGCTAACCGGCACCCAAAGCTACCAAACAACTTTCTAAGAGCTGAACCCTCGGGACGTGTACACTCACGGGGACCTAGCAGGGGGTACCACCAGAAAATACTCAGAACACAAGGGACACAAGGGGCAAGAACGAAGGCAGACCATCCCCCCCACCAGGTAGATAAACAAAAAGAAAAAGAAAACCCCGCAAGAGGACAGCGTACCCAAGCGGAACAGAGCCGGCCGCTATGATTGGTAAAGACAAGCTGCACAGTACCCTGCGCCCCACCAGTGCAAAAACTGCCCCTTACTCTAAGGCGAACAAGGGAGACAGAACACCCGAGCACACAAAGAGCGGCCGAAAACCAAGCAGTAAACGGCCAAGCAGGGGCAGGACCCAAGGAACTTGTGGAAGGTGGCCCCAAGCCCCAAGGGCAGTACTTACAGGGCACCTAGGGAAGGGAACCCTAGGCGCATGCAGCCCGAGTACTGGAGAATCATTCTCGGCTCACGCACCACCTAGAAAACAGACACCACACTCTAGGTACAGTGCTGAAACAACCACTGGAGCCGGAGCACATAACCGTTGCTTATAGCATCAGCCGAAGAACTGATGGGTGGATAGCCGGTGTGGGAGGTCTGGGGCTCCCCCTTCCCCCTCCCGGGGAGGGGGGAGCTGCGCAGACAGCGGCGCGGTGACGTATGACGTCATACTAGTTTCCTTGTTTTCTGTTGAAGAGTTCTATCCACTAGTTCGGCTTTAGGTAGCAATTTTCACCAGAATAGGGGTTTGTTTTGGAATGCTTACCTTTCTGGATGCTTGACCCGGTCGATGGCAGACATAGAATGCTTCCAACCACACGGGGGTTTCTATAGGCCATTGCTCTCCTTGCCTCTCTGAGGGGGGCCAGGTTCTGGCCGTGGTCCCCGGTAGGCCCTAGAACTCCATACACATGACTGATGCCAAAGTCTGACATTAGCATATCAGCCGGTAAAGCTCCAGGGAGCCGACGGGGCTCCCCCCAGAAAATACACATATAATATGCCAATCACTTTGTAGTAAGTCCAATATTGGTTGTACCTTGTCTTAAGCAGATTGAAGACAGTTGGCTTTTGTTAGGTTTCCAGATAAATCTGGATAATCTCTGATAATCTTTTAGACATGGACACTAAAGAGATCATTTGTGCCCAACCAATCTCCCAGTTGTGAATTCCTTACTCAGATTTCTTATTATGAATCGTCATTTCTTGCATTATGTCTACCATTCATAATGCAATACCTTACCATTTGTATGATACTGTATATAGTTGGCTATTGCAAGCATCATTTAAACAGTACATACAGTACAGTACTATCAAATATGACCCATCACTGAAACAGGAAGTGGAGAAACGTCTCTGGCTCGGTTACGTACTGGGCACCCATGCTTAACTCATTGACCCTTTAACGAAACACACACACACACACCTTACTGTCAGAACTACATTGTTCCACTAACAGTTGCAAAGCTCCTTGTATATTTTTTGTACTTTCTTTGTTTTTTCGTCTTTCTCAGTACTCCTTTGTGTTGTATGATTCCTTTGACGTGACTTGTCTAGTGTTTTTTTGCTCTCATATTTGGCGTCCTGAATATCTACAAACTCTTGAATATTCTGTAACACACAGGTGCTATGTAGCATTCTGAGCTAGGCAATTTCTTTTGATAATTAATTGTTATCTGTCACAACTTTTGCTTTCATGTCTACTGCACAAAACACATTTTCCCTGTCATGTTTTCTCTGTGTTCTTTAATATTTTATTTGTAACTTGATCCCAATCAGGAGCCATCCCTTTTAACATAGACCTTTCCATATTAGAGTTTATTGATATATATAGGCATCTTAAATTTGAAAATATTGCTGCTGCTTTTAGTTTTGACAGCTTTCATATTCGTAGACAATAAATCAACTAATTTATCATGCTTTACAGGTAGGTTTGATTTTGTTGGAGCTTCACATCAGCTTTGGCATTTGATTATAATAGCTGCTTTAGTATACTGGCACCAAACAGGCTTGGAGTATGCTCGCTATAGGCTGACCTATGGATGCAACACAGGCCTCATGAATCAGTGAGATATGTATATATGAAGGTAAATAAAATGCAGCTATTTTTGGCAAGACAGATGCATTGTGGCACCAGAGTGACTCGATACTTATTATTACCAATCATTAATTTATTGATAATTGTCCATATTTGTTTGTATTTTATGGGTTGTACAGTACCTATTGCCAATTTGTTTATTGATGTTATAATAACTGGTTGTTATACCTGACTGTGATAAAGTTACTGTGGTTGTGGTTTTAGAATTGGTTCCTAAAAATCTCGGTGCTCGACAACATCCTCATTGTTAACTGTAAGATTGCTGTTGATAATCAAATGAAACAGTCTTCCATGATATGCCTACCTCGGAACTGCTGATTTTGACAATGCTTTGTGCGAAGATTATTGATGCAAGAATTGGTGATATTACAATACAGTACAGCACTATTTGATGTAATAAGTAGTGTACTGTACTGTACAATACTTGGCAATGCAGTACTGGGTGTGATTATTTTTGGTATTACAATATGTATACAGTACTGTATCTCTAAAAATTACTTTATTCACTATATTTCAGTTATATAAATATAAAATAAAAAGTTTCCAGTCTCTGCATATTGGAAAAAAAAGAGGAGAGAATTGAAGATGTTTGCATCTCTAATAATCACATATCATGTTATATTTTGTGAAAGCAATAAGAAGTTGTATGCATCCTGTTTGTATTTTCCATAGAATTAAATGATTGGAAATAAAATATTGTAACATGTAGATAGAGAATTTCTTCTAAGGCTTTAAAAGCCCATAATCTTAAGATGCATTAGAGATTTGAGGTTAGACCACAATAGCCATAATCTTAGTTGAGCTACCAAGGCATATGTTTACGGTTACAATGTAGTCAGTAAGGTTTGCTGTGTTGTTAAATATTAAAATGTGTTGTTAAATGTGTACTGAAGGGTATTTGTGAGTACAATAGGCATACTGCAGTTTGACTGCAGTATTGGATGTGCACTTGAAAGTTTATCGTTATTATGGCAAGGTTATGTTAATCATAGTTTCAAGTGATTTTAGTAAGCATATTTTTTAAGTTTTTAGAAAGCCCATAGTCATAGTCTGATTTTTTTATACACACATATATTAAAGATATCCAGTAGGATTATTATAATAGTTTGAAATGTTTTTTTTATTGTTATTCTAATGAAGTATTATGATTTCTGGCAAACCTACAGTAGCTAGCAATCGTTTTTGTATTGTATTTCGGAACTGTATGGTAAACAAAAAGCTTTATACAGAAAGTTGTTGCCGAACCTTTTGCTCTGCAGAAAAGTTTGACATGCATGCCAATTTGTGGATTTTCAAAGTTGGCTATCCTTGTGGAGACTGAGAGAAGTAGACAGTGCATACTTGAAGCCCAGTGTGATTGGTATTTTTCATAGAAAATTCTTGAGGAAATGGGCTCTCAAAAGTTTCATTTCATGTAAATATTATATTTTAACAAATAAATCTCAACATTGCCTTAAAATAAGTTGATAAACCCTGGCCCATCATTGATAACACCAACTAAAGTTGCAGGTGGCTGTATTCACTAAACACATGACAACTTGCGTCAACACATTGGGCTCGACACAAGGATACCAACACACTGTGGTGAAAATGAGTTCTTGTTAGGAGTGTGGATGAATGTATATGTAGGTGGGAAACTTGGAATATTTTTTATAAGTTTGGAACAACTTGCACAGTATGGATTATAAGAAAGTAATGTTCTGTGCTTATGAAGAATGTGAACATTATACTGTAAAAGTTTACATAAAGTTACAACTGTTTGGTTCATTGTTTTGCCACGTGGCATAAAGCCTACCCTGGAATTTCTTGTTCAATAGGGTATTGCAGTTAGCACATTTTTCTTGTTAAAATTTCACACATTCTAAAAATGTTACACAGTACATAACTTTACTTGTGTAATGACATGTACAGTAATTAAAAAGTTTATTCTGAATGGTAATTTGGGTAACATTAAAGCTTAGCAACATTGTTTTTTAGATAATGATGTTATATTTGTGTAGATTTTAGCTATTCAAATTCATTATTTTGGCATTGTTAAAAAATGATCAAATATTAATTTTAAATGCGTTACTTTTTGAGTCACGTTTCATAGATATTTAATATCTAATTCAGATATGTTGTATTTTACATTAAATTCTGCATACTGTTATAATAAGAGTTTTGTTATGAATAATAATTGTTTTATAATGATGCTGTTTTAATGCTTGCTTGGCCTGCTACCTCTTGCTAAAAAACATGCACTTATTATTATTATTTGCAAGAAGGTACAATGAGTTGGTGAGATTACATTAGTTAGTTTAGTTCATTTATTATGCATCCCATACCCATCCTGTGGGCAGTAGTGGAAAGGGTTACAGAGGCACATAATGGGCTCGGGGACTGAGCCCCACAATTCATTTAGCTAAGCAAGCTACAATCTTGATGAGCTAGTTACAAAATTCAATGCACATCGTCACATCAACAATGGGCTCGAGACCAACCACAAGTACAGTTTCAAATTAAGCAATTGACATGTGGAGAGCTAGTGTCACAATTGCTATATTTGTCCTGCACACCGCCCTCCCTTTCCCCATCCAGTGGGCAACGGTGGATAGGTTACAATCATTCAGTTACTACCTACAGTTAGCAAACTGGGGATATTTGGCCAAGACTTCTGGCAGCAGATCATTTTGAATGAAATATTTGCACATCTCTTGAACATATGTTATAAATTTGTTTGAATTCACGTATCTTTTCACACTCCATCACATAGTGACGGAGGGTGTGCAAATAATTTTGTTGACAGTTTACATTTGGTCAGGTCTACATCAGCAGATAATGAAAATCCCCAGAGATACTGATAACCGAGTCTAAGCCGAGCAATAGTAACATCTAGAAGTCTGCTGATTTTATTGGATGATCCATAGATGTGTGGCTCATCTTGCACGATAGTATGAAGATAGATGGAGTTAGTGGTGTTGATTTCACTTTGTCTCAGATCTACAAGATTTTGTTGAGGTTCTTGGTGTATTATTGCTCTCAGACTGCTTATTGACAATCCAAGGTTATATTCAATTTCTCCTTTAAAGGCAGATTCTTTGGCTAACTCATCAGCTCTATAATGCATTCGAAGGCCAACATAAGATGGAGTCCACATGAAATAGACTGTTACCATCATTAATAATTTTGTTGTATTTGTGTCTAGCTACAGACACAAGCATGTTGCTTATGTAGATTACATAAGGATTGGTATGCTTATTTATGAGTTTTGAAATTACATAAGATTGGTATTTTAACATTCATGCAAAGCTACTAACTGGGGAGCTGGTGGCTGAGTGGACAGCGCTCCAGACTCATGGACCTAGGGACCGGGGTTCAATCCCCACAGCCGGCAGAAACAGATGGGCAGAGTTTCCTTCACCCTGATGCCTCTGTTACCTAGCAGTAAATAGGTACCTGGGAGTTAGACAGCCTCTACAGGCTGCTTCCTGGGGGTGCATGCATGTGTAATTACCTCAGTGTAGTTACAGGATTAGAGCCATATTCGTGGTGTCCCGTCTTCCCAGCACTCTGTCATATGACGCTTTGAAATTACTGGACGGTTTTGGCCTCAACGACCCTCCCACCTAACTTATTCCAACTGTCTACCACTCTTTTTACAAAAATGAATTTTCTTATATTTCTCTGGCAACTTTCTTTTGTTTAAATCCATGACCTCTTGTTCTTGAAGTTCCAGGCCTCGGGAATCCTTCCTTCTCAATTTTATCGATTCCTGTTACTATTTTGTATGTAGTGATGATATCGCCTCTTTTTCTTCTATCTTCTAGTTTTTGCAAATTTAATGCCTCTAACCTCTCCTTGTAGCTCTTGTTTTTCGGTTCTGGGAGCCACTTAGTGGCATGTCGTTGCACCTTTTCCAGTTTGTTGATGTGTTTCTTAAGATATGGACACCATACAACCACTGCATAGTCCAGCTTTGGTCCAACAAAAGTTGTGAAAAATTTCTTTAGTATTTCTCCATCCATGTATTTAAAAGTAATTCTGAAGTTAGAAAGTGTAGCATAGGCTCCTTACACAGTGTTCTTAATGTGGCCCTCAGGTGATAGTTTTTTATCTAGAACCACCCCTAGATCTCTTTCTTTATCAGAATTCTTTAAAGATTTCTCACAATTAATAGGCTGTGTGGGGTCTATGTTCTATTCCACATTCCATAACATGGCATTTATTCATATTAAATTCCATTAGCCTAAATGTGTGTGTGTGTGTGTTTAAAAAATTAGTAACAATTGATTGACAGTCGAGAAGCAGGCTAAAAGAGCAGATCTCAACCCTGCAAGCACAACTAGGTGAATACTAACATGCAGAGACTTATGGTCTCAAAGACAATGAGGGTGGGTTGGAGCGCTCTACTGGTTTATGGGCAATGGTGCCTCTTTTATCATAGGCCAAGTTTTCAGATTAAATTTTTTTTTTATATTTAGCCTTTATTAATAATAATCATGCTTGTTTTTGTTTAAAAACAAAAAGCAAATATTACTGCAAAATATTTTTTCATTGGGAAGACCAATGTTCTATATATAGTAGTTTAAAGACAGAATTATTGTTTCCTAATAAAAAATGATTTTTTGTTAACCAAAAATATAAAACTTTTTTCATAATATCTAATATAAACTTTGTAAAGCCTGCTGGCACTTTCTTTTGATAATTACTTACTTCGTAAAGCCTGCTAGTTTGTGTATTGAGAAAATTTCATCAAAATCTGATAAAAACTATTGGGGAACTTAAAATACAATTGTTAGATTTTCCTTAAGATTTAAATTTTTCCACAAAAAATGAAGTACTGTACTGTATCACTAATCTTCAACAATATCCATTTTAATTATATAAATCTTATATACTTTTCAGTAAATTGTATTTAATTAATCCAATTGTTTTTCTGTGAAAGTATAAAAATACTAGCTGGCAATTTACCATTATTACCAGATTTTGTTTTCGTAGTTAATGATAACTTAAAAAAATTGAAATAAAATACTTTGATTTTGCAGTAGCATCAGCAAAAGAATGCCCACCAGAGAAAGCAGGAAAGCAACCACTGCAGGTCAAGGACAGGTTAACCAAAATTTTATTAGGTTGTGATTGGAAAGCCAAGACCAGAGTATCACCAGCTGGAGGCACATCCTTGATAGTGTCAGCTGAGCGAAAGGGAGGAAGGCTAGCCTAGCAAAACACCAATTGGGATGTCCTCATGTTTACAACATCCTAAATATGAAGATATGTCCTAAATCCTTAGGACATTCAAGCTCAACAAGCCACAATGTAGGACAGAACAGAAGATGCTTTTTCACCCGCTGAAGCCGTAACTACCAAAACTGTTCTGTTTTTAAATATACCTAGAAAAGATCAAGGAAAATGGGGGAACATTCAATAAGCTGCCAGCTTCCTGTCTTCATTGAAGCCACTAGGCCATTAGGGTTAGTGGCGTCAGGTAAATCAGGTTTACCAAAATAGAATGTGGCCCAACTGAAAAAAAAAAATAATAATGGCAGCAGACACTATGCTATCTGGGGGCCCAAAATCGGTCATTGTAGGCCAGGAAGAATCCCCCTAAAAATGAGGATATTGGAGGACCCCATGAGGCAGTTTATGAAAGAGTTGGAGGCTATGTAAAGACCAAAATGGCAGGGCCTGAAAGGCTTATGAGAGGTGCCCAAAATAAACCACCATGATTTAACCCCCAGCTATACCATGAATGCAGAAAGGATGTGAAGGTGCAGATGGGCATCCCAGTGATCCAGTTAAATGAGGTAGGAGGGGCTCAAAACCACTTGGCAGCCTCTGGTGATGCCACCACTGAGGTACACCTAGAAAGGGCTGATGTTGTGACCTATGCTAACTACCAGATCAGGGTGAGCACAGAACATGGTCAAGCAGTGGCACCTGCTTGATGGGGTTTTGGGAGTTCTTCTACTCCCCAAGCCCGGCCCAAGGCCAGGCTTGACTTGTGAGATACCACCTAATGGGTGAGATTTGCCCATGTACCATGTTGTGGTACATGGGCAAAATGACACACTCCTTGGCAACCAACAACTCCAAATTCTTACCTCAACCAGGATTGCCAACTGCAGTCAAAACACCCAGAAATGGCTGAAAAAGACACACTTGTCACCACTAGACTTCTACCTTTGAGGCAAGGAGAAAATGGGGGAAGTGGACAAGAGTGAGTGACCAAGCACTGGAGAGAAGCTAAAATGACAATCAGGTAGGCATGAAGAGCCACAGCAATTGAGAGGACCCTTAATTCTCTCGTCACTGGTCGTTCTTTCTCAATTCCACTATTGCAAGTGGTCAGGCATATTTTACAGCTCATTTATTACTGTTGTGATCCATGCTATATTTACTCTTCAGGTATAGAAAGTATTGAATAATGCTGTTTTAGGCAATGGTAACATTCTCTTATTAATCATTTTATGAATTTGGTAAATTATTTATCTGGCCCCAAATAAAAAAATAAAATATTAATCTAACCTCTGGGTTAGATCAAACCATAGGGAATGTGCTTTGTGGCCCAGTATTATCACAGGGTTCATCCCAGAGTTGGTTTCTAGCCTTTAGCCTGATGTACTGTAATTCACAAACCACATTCATCTGTTGCTCTCTGGGTCATCGGGAGCATGTAATCACCACCACCATAAAAATGCGAGTTCATACAGTAAATAAAACATTAATACTGTACTTTGAGGACAATGAAAAGATACTCATGCAATATTTATGTATTAGAAATCAATACAAGGGACTAGGTAGTATTAAGTACAACAAAGTACTCTCAACATTTACTGGCAACATCACTTAGGCAAAAATATTAATTTATCACAGTGTATTACACTTTTGGGGGGGGGGGGGAAATGGCTCGATTAGAATGATATCACCAAGAATTATAATTTTTTAATTTTAGAAACTCAAAATTATATTTTCTTTACTTTTACAATGTATTTCAGAAATTACAAATTATGCAATTGTTACCAGAGACAAAACTCATGACATCAAGCAAATACAGTATAATAAATAAGTAATTATCAAACGAGGGCACCAAGCCAAATATAATAAACCTCATTATACTGTAATTAAACTGGATAAGTTATATTCAGAAAAGCTTGTATAATCTTTGCTTCTCTTCCAAAAGTGAAACTAATCCTTTTAAAATACAGTGTATAATGACTGTGAAGTATCCAAATATCCACCTACATCACTTTATTCTGGAACATGAAGGCATTGCCTAATCCCATCACATTCACTGGGAAGACAATTATACCTACTAAGCCAAATACTTCATCTATAGCACTGAAAGTAAGATCACTGTCACTTCAAACTTTCAGATAGGCTTATGAGTAATACTTTTGGAAGTACAAAGACAACATTTTTCTAATTAACCTCTCTAGAAGAATGATGTAAATATAAACCCAGACCTTACTGTTACCCTGCACAGCCAGAATGATATAATATAGTAATGCATACACGCACTCGCTTCAAAATTGAGAATCTAATGCTGGCTGAAAGACGTCGAGATGACAGCTTTATACAGTATTGCTGAAAATATAAAATGTTTAATATCTTATTATAAACCTACATGGAATTTTCAACTTTTAATGACATATATTAGCAACAATACCCAGCACTATATATATTACTATTAGTTTGTCTTTTTATGTTATTACTATCTCTCTTTATTCTTCATAAAGTATATTAATAAAAATCTCATAAATTATACATTATTTTTAACTTCACATTAATTGTTATGCTCAAAAGACTCCTTTACTTACAGTTCCTAAAGTATTTTGGCCATCCCTACCCCTAACATTGTACCAGCAGAAAATGCCAAAATATACATATTGAGCATATATAGTTCATCTACAGTAAACATTCTATCTTCCCCTAGCACGTGTTTATTGTACATCTTCCGCGCTGATCGTATTTGTTTGCTTATCAAAGATTCTGCCTTCTGCTCAACCCGATTTAACTTGCGATCCAGCTTTTCTGCAGCTTTTTCTAGTTTCCTGTCTATCTTGCGTGCTGCATCTTGCAGGAGATTCTGTAGTGATCATAAACAAATCTATCAAGACAAATATAAGGATGATTTTACTATTCTCTTAATGTGCTCATGCATGTGGTTCATTGTACTGTATCTTGTGTGTGATCAATGATAACATAAGTAACTCGCCTTTATCTGAATTGCCACTTCGGTACTGTACAACATTGTACAATATGAGCCTAAGTAACACACCTTCAATTGAGTCCTGATACTATTTAGGAATTCACAACAATACCCAGTATTAAACTACTGGGTATATATTATTTTCTCGAGAATCTTGTAGGAAAAATAGAATACAATCCAAAGCAATAAATTTGATCAGAAAAACATTAAAAATATAAACTTTATTGCACAATACAGTACCAGATTTATTGATAAAACTATATTCACCAGATAATGAGCTATCAAAACCCCATTTGAGTGGCAAAACCCGAACCTGAATATCTGCCCTAGACATACCCTAAAACAACAGGCAATGCTGTATATGTATGCACATCGTAGGCCTGAGGGTAGACCACCGATGGGCTACATTTGAAAACACTGTGGATGACCTGTTACAAATGGACCTTGGCATCTAGGACACCAAGTTAACAAATATATTGCATGCAGCATCCCAAGTGGTGCACAAATAATGCTGGAAAGCAAAACTAAAGATGCACCCATGGGCTTAACAAACCGAGATTCAACAATGAAACCCATCAAGAAACCAACTGTCTCATTTATAGTCAGAAAAGGAGAAGACTGCAGAAGAAATCATTAACCAGGGTGAACAAAAAACCAACGTTGAATGTAATGAAACGCCATTTTCTGGGCGAGTCCCGGAGGCTCCCTGAAGCTATTTGAACTGATATGTGCTATATTAGTTTGGGGTCATCAATAACAGGAGTTCTTATGCCTACCAAGAACCATGAGCTAAAACCTGGTCCCCTAATAGGCACAGGAACAATGGCATATATTTTTTTTTTCTATTGGATAAAAAAAAAATAGCATTGAATGTAGTGAAACATAAAATCGGGAAGACTTTACAGTCCACCAACTAATTGTCCTTGCCATAGCCGCTAAGAGATGGCAGCAGTCATGCATTTTAAAAATCGAGATGAAAGATAATTCTTATCTAAATTTACATTGGCACCAATAAGAAATTAGCTGATAGATATCAACAAATCTGTTAATAGGGTTATAATCTAAATTCCTTAACCTTTCAGTAAATTAACTACTCAATTCATTTCTATTCTCAAGAGATATCATCTTGATTATTTAATAGTGTAAACTTATATTTTCCAAAATATTTCTTATCCACAAAAATCTGTTTTAAATTCCTTCCTTGTGTAAGGAATCATTCAGAAAAGTCTGTTTTGTATACTAGAAGTGTTTTATTTTAGAAGTATTTTATTTTAATTTTTAAGTTATCATTACCAGATTTTGTTTTTTGTGGCGCAGTGGTAAAACACTCGCCAAGCGCTTTGTGAGCGATTCGGCCTGGATTCACATCCTGGCTGGGGAGGATTGACTAAGCGCCAATCCTTGACTCTATGCTTCTGTTCACCCAGCAGTGAATGGGTACCTGGTTGTTAATTTGGCGGGTCATATTCCAGGGAAAATTAGGATTAAGGACTTGCCCAAAACACAGTAGCACTTGCTCAAAAGTGCTAGAGGTTTTACAAGAATGTAAAAACTCTTGTATATGTATACTGTATATATAAATAAAGGGGAATGAATGCTGCATGAAATTAATTTGGGCCATTTCTTTAAGGATAGGTATGACCATGCAAGCCAATGATACACATTTTGTCACCCGATGCAGCACTTTAAAGAACACTACTGTACTCTAACATCCAGAAAGCTGCCATTAGGATATCTGTAGTGCACTTTTAGTTGTGTGCTTCCTATTCTGTAGTTCAGTATCAACCTGTAGTAAACTGACAGACATTTCTGTATCTCTACTCAACACCAACTCTCACTATTCCTTGAAAATGAATCCATACACAAGAACAATTTCAAAACACAACATGGATATTTAATTTGACATGCAATCATGCAACACAACAATACAAAATTTATAGAACACGTTAAGTACAAAAATTAACATCAACTTAAAGCCAAAATGAAACACTCACAACGAGACTTACACGCACTATGCTTTATCATTGACATTTAATTTCTGCAGCCGTGCACATGATGCTGGAGTATTAAAACTAACATTAGGTTAAAAAGTTAGGTAGCAAGAGTAATAATCAATTCATATTATAAAGAAGAAAAACAATAACTGGCTCCCAGTGATTGAAAGAACTCCACTATGATTTAGAATCATTATGCAGACCACTGTTATTAGATACTTGTTGCTAGAAATAAAAAATGGCAGGCATCTCTACCATTGCAAATTATAATACGTACATTGTACTGAAATAGTTAGCAAGTATATTGATTATATATGGCCTACCTTTAGCCGGAAGCAGCTTGCCTGTCCAAGGAAAAAAAACAGGACTTTTGATATCCAGGTATAATTAAAGACTTTACATATCTGTCTGCAACAACTAAAATTTATGAGGCTTCCATATGCGCAGAATAAAGTTAAAATGACTTACAATGGATCTAGGAGGAAGCAATTCCCAACAGCACTCCTCCACCAAAGCTTGTGGCCAACACTATGTTCTCGCGGGCAAAGCGCACCGCCTGAAAAGATGGAGTTCTTACATTCAACCTACCACAAAAAATAAAAAATATACAAAATAAAAATACCGGCAGCATTTCGCTCTTCACAGTACCGTACCCTATGCTCAAAAGAGCATACTCAGTCAGGTGGCTTCTCATGAACCAAAAAATTATGACAAGAAAGTTACTGATAGGAACTAAAGATTTTTATTGTACGAACCATTTGATGATCATAAAAAATCATTAGTATTGCCCTGTTCCCACCTTCATGAAATGAAGTTTTCCCTGTCCAGGGCAAGGAGCCAGTTAAGCATATTGAGGTCCCCCCCCCCCTAGAGCCTAGACCAATACAGGTAGTTGACATTTCCTAGGATGCAACCCACAACAGTTGCTTAACTCCCAGGTATTTATTTTCTGCTAGGTGAACAGAGGCACCACCTGTAAGGAAACATGCCCAATCATCTTGTCCTGTCCAGGAATTAAATCCAGCATTATTCAGTTGTGAGCAGACTGGGCAGACCATTGTGCTACAAGACACCCAGAAGCAACAATACAGGAAAAGCAAATTAAAGACACTAAGATATACACATCCATCACTGTATCTTCCACCATCAGCATCACGTAGCCTCATCCCATTTAAACAAGACATCAATAGCAGCACCTCATGGCTGCATAAAACTAAGTGTAGAGCACAGTACTTCCCATAAAATGTTACTTAAAATGTCAAATGCCTGAAAATGCCTCAAGACAAATTATTTTATTATCCTCAAACAACAGTGCAAAATAAAGACCTATTTAAAGCCTTGAATAACAAGCAGGTAAGCATTGAGTAGGAGATAAGACAGCCACATTTAATGTAATAAAGGAGGCAGAAACATTGTTTAACATCTTGGAAACTATTTTAACAGTAAAACTCATTAAAGAGCCATTAAATATTGCTGAAATATTAAGAAGCACTTGCTGCCTGAAGACATTAGAATGCATGAACAGAACGGTTGTTGTCTAAACAGATTGTATATTCAGTATAGTACTATGTATTCAAGCTCAAAATTCATGTACTGTATACCCAAAGTATACATGGACTCCTTTTATACCTGGAGTATACTGTACAGTACTCTTGAGAGTTCTTTTACTCCTCAAGCCTGGGCAGGTGCCTGGAGGCTTGTCTTGTGATAACCTGATCTAAAAGGCTGTTGCTTGCAATGGTCCACATGGTCACATAGCCACCATAACTCAGTTGGTCGACCACCTCCCACAGGAACTTGTCAAATTGCAGACAATGAGTCACAATAAGGTGGCTGAAGATATGAAGATTAAACCACACACCAGAGGACTAGGAGACGACGACGATTTGGTCCATCCTGGACCATTATCAAGTCAATTATGATGGGAGCGAGGGAGGCACGGGCATTAAATAAGGCAGGAGAAAGGTGGTGAGAGGTGAGGAGGAGGAAATTTCTAGGAGGGTAAGAGCAAGGCAAAAGGTACGGATGGGATGGGTGTATTAAACGGGTGTAAGAATGGGTATAAGAATTGGAACATAAGCATAAGAGGTGAAAGAAAAAAAGAAAAAAGATAAAAAAAATGCCTGTGCCTTCCTTGCTCCCATCACAATCGACTTAATAATGATTCAGGATGGACCGAAACATCGTCATCTCCTCATCTTCCACTGTGGTTAAGTCTTCACTTGTCAAATTGTTTCTTGAACACTTCCACTTTTGTCCCAGCAATATTTCTTATGTTGGGAGGACATATAAGAGCTGTGAACCTCTGATATTTATACAGTGTTCTCTGAGTGTTCCTATGTGAGGGTGTGGAACAGCTGAAGTGATTTCAATAGTAAAAGCATTATGGTGGAATCCCTGGATTTTAAAGTCTTAAATCCTGTATTTTGTTTAAGTTTTTAATTTTTATCATACCTTGTGGCTACCTTACGATGATTTCCGGGTGAAACGTCCCTGCGGCCCGGTCCCTAACCAGTCCTCCTGGTCGCTGGACTGATCAACCAGATTATTGAATGCAGCTGTTCTAAGCCTGACATATGAATCACAGCCTAGTTGATCAGGTAACCTAACCTGGTTGACCATACCTAATTATCTAAATTCATCAAACAAAATATTTGTTATTGCCCAACTGAAGACTTCACTGGTTGATACCTGGTTGATGGGGTTCTGGGAGTTGTTCTACTCCCCAAGCCCGGCCCGAGGCCAGGCTCGACTTGTGAGAGTCTGGCCTGATATTGACTGATATTGGCTTGTACTGTACAGTACATAGATTTTCAATGTGATGAATGAAAAGTCCATTTCTGGAGGGGCCCTACTAGGTAAGTTTTATGAAGATGTACAGGA